TGTCTTGGAGATGCGGGCTCTTTTTTGGTTCCATATGAACTTTAAAGCAGTTTTTTCCAATTCTGTGAAGAAACTCATTGGTAACTTGATGGGGATGGCATTGAATCTATAAATAACCTTGGGCAGTATGGCCATTTTCACGATATTGATTCTTCCTATCCATGAGCATTTTATTTTTTAAAGATAAGGATGTCGCTATTTTGCCCAGCCTGGTCTCGAACTCCTCGCCTCAAGTGATCCTTTGGTATCAGCCTCCCAAAGTACTGGGATTACAAGCTTGAGTCACCATGTAAGGCTTGGAATTTGTTTCATTTTTTTGAGCATTTTAAAATTTTCTTCTTAGCTACTTGTCTGAACTTACTGATAGTACCTGACTTATGGCAGTTGGAGTTATAATTTTTTCACTTTCAGATGATGTGAAAGTGATATGCATTCAAGTAGAAATAGTACTTCCCGTATTCATACAACCATTCTATTTTCTCTTTCAGTACAGTATTCAATAAATTACATGAGATATTCAACACTTTATATAAGATAAGGTTTGTGTTAGACAATGTTGGCAAACTGTAAGCTAATGCATGTGTTCTGAGCACATTTAGGATAGGATAGGTTGAGCTATAACATTCAGTGGATTAGACATATTAAATGTAATTTCAATGCATGATATTGAAAAATCTGTATCTCACGTGGTGTTTGACCACTGATATCTCTGCTTTAGTTTTAATTTATAGGAACTGCACATGTAACTGCACATAGGTCAGCAATCATTTGAGAAGAAGTTTTGCTCAATTATCAATTATTGTATATCTGTCTTCTGTCAATCCATCTGTGTGTAGTTTAAAAAGCACATGCAAAATGCAGCCAGTTCTTACCTCTCTCGGGTTTTACTTTGCACCAGGCACTCCTGGGTCTCATCACTCATCTCTATAGCTTCTAAGTTACTAGGAATGTGTGCAGAGATTGTTTCAGCATATGGCTCTATCTTATCCAGGAATCTGCTACTTACTGTCAGCAGATGTACTAGTTGCCCCAATGAGGGCATCATCTTGGACTAGCAAAGCTATGGGCTTTTTCTGTTCATTTCCTGTGGAGTTCTGCATGTTTAGCTGGAAACACTGAAGAATTTTACTTCACTTCTTGGTTTTACTCAAGTCCACCCATTTAGGCAGCAAGCTGCTAGTTTTATTTGCTATCCTATATTGGTAACACTCTAGTTCTGTAATTCATGCTGATTGAGCTGGGGGTAGAAGCATGCTGTCACAGGCAAAAGGCTACAGATTTTTTCTCTCTTTACTCAAAGTACTAGTACTTTTTTTTCTATAAAGAATATACATCTTTAATTATTTTAGCTTCCTCAATTTTCAGAGTGCTGAAATAGTTTTGACTTTTTAGCTTTGTATTTATACGTGTGTTTGTTGTTTACTTTTGCACAGAAGATTTATTAAACTCTTTGTGATGCCGTAAACAGAGATGCCTTCTAAAATGCATTTAAATGAACATAATAGCCACGCTGAAAGGGAATAAGGTTATGGACTAACATAAGTAATTTTGGACTTGAGAACTTGAACTCTGCACCCTCCGTTTAAAAAGAAACCAATGTTCTAACAAATAGAGAATCCTGATCCCTAGTTTCCACATTCATGAAGGAACGCCCTGTCAATTTTTAAGATGCCTTCTTTGTGTTGTAGAGCTGAGCAAATTAGTGATTACACTCTACATAATGTGAGCTATGATTGTAGACCTAGCATCTTTAATAAAGATGAGAATTAGAAATAAAAATGGTTCAAAATAGGAGGAAACTTGTGGAATTGTTTAATAAGCACATTTTTCTTATTTTTTTTTTTTTTTACTTACTTGTGTGTGTATGTGTTTTAAACTTATTGGGAAATACATTTAGACTTAAAATTTTAAAAATATAGCAAAGATGGTTCCCATATACTCCTCCTCCAGCTTGCTCTAATGTCCGCCTCATAAATAACCACAGTATCACAACCATGAGATGAACATAGATATAATGTTATTAGTTAACTCATGTAAAATCCTATGTGGATTTCACTGATTTTCCCATTAATGCCATTTTTTATGTTACAAGTTATAATTCTGGTTTTCATATTTTATTTGGTTATCCTGTCTTTAATGTCTTAACATCTATGATAGTTTTTCACTTTTGTTTCTCTTTCATGGCCTTCAAACATTTGAAGTTTACTGGCCAGTTATGTTGAATAATGTCCTCCTAATTGGTTTTGTGTGATGTTTACTACTGATTCAATTCACACCATTAATTTTCGCAAGAATAATACAGATAGGATGTGTCCTCAGTGCTTCATATCAGATGTTACATAATGTCAACATGTCTTATAGGTGACAAAAAATGAATATGATCAATGAAATCCCTTTTGGAAGGAAGTCTTGGAGAAAAATAATGAAAACAACTGCTTCTATCACTGCTTCTACTTGGTCATTTGCAGACATCATTAGGAAGAGTCTATTTCTTCCTTACCTAATATGTACTTTATTTTTACAGACTTTAATCCTTTTAGAGTCCACTGCATCATAGAGAAAACTGAAGAAATATTTTAGTTCACTTTTAAATAGCAAACGTTTCCATAATAACCATTTACCACTGAAACGTTGATAGCCTGAAGAAAAAAAAAAAGAATGGTATTTATTCAGCTATGGTAGTATCTTCACATGAACAGCTTTACGTTAGTCAACTATTTGGATGAATGCATAGAATTTTCTACTACTTAGAATGTTGCAGAATTCAAATGGAGCAGTGTAGCATGCACTGACCTACTTCTACTGGGAAAGTTAAGAAAGACTGGGGCTATATAAGGATTCATATAGAGAGACATTATTTCTGGAAACCTGAGATTCTGGGGCCTCAGGTGAAGAGAGTCCAAGAATCAGAGTCCAAATTATTCAAGGAGGGGTGTGTGTGTGTGTGTGTGTGTGTGTGTGTGAAACCACAAAATATCCAATTAGAGCAGAGATGCTAAAACTGAGTGGCCACCACACTTGCTCTCTGTGACGGAAGCAGCTGGTATAATCAGTAAACACTGATGGTCTTGTTGAGGTTTTTGTTTCATGTTCAATCACTGTGGTTTCCAGTCATTATCCTGCTGACAGTAATAAACTGCAGCATCTTCAGGCTCCAGGCTGCTGATGGTGAGAGTGAAGTCTGTCCCAGACCCGCTGCCACTGAACCTGTCTGGGATGCCAGTGGCCCTGTTGGATGCACCATAGATGAGGAGCCTGGGAGCCTACCCAGGTTTCTGCTGGTACCAGGCTAACCTGCTGCCAACACTCTGACTGGTCCTGCAGGAGATAGTGGCTCTTTCCCCTGGAGACAAAGACAGGGTGGCTGGAGACTGCGTCACCACTGTTTCTCCGGTGGTATCTGAGATTGGAAATAAAACAGAAATGCACTATTATAATCTAGATCAAAACCAGTGTCTTTGAGTAGAGCCAAAATTGTTGATCTACATTGAATTTTAATTATATTTCTTGCTGAGCAGAAGTGTCAGGAGTTTTCAGTGATGTGCAAAACCACCTCATGTTCCCCTCACCTGGGAGCCAGAGTAGCAAGAGGAAGAGAAGCTGTGCTGGGGCTTCCATGGTTCCCTCTGGGTCCTAACTGAGCAGTTCCTCCCCAGGGCTCTGACCCAGGCATTGATATGGGCTCTGGAAGGTAGGGCAGCTGGGAGGGACATGCAAAGCAGCTGGGGTGGGAGCTGGGCTTCCAGCTGCAGGGACCACCTGCTTCTTCCTCTCTGCACTGAGCATCCTGCGCCGCCCTGGTTTTCAGGTCAGAAAAGTCTGGCTCAGTCTGAGTGTAGAACTTCCCCCTGGTGATCACAGAATTTCACTCCTGTGTCTTTCTTCTCCTCAATTACCTCAATTCACCCAGATGATGTTTGGCATAACCGCGTTAAGAAAAATATCGTTTCCATAATAACCATTTACCACTGAAACGTTGATAGCCTGAAGAAAAAAAAAAAGAATGGTATTTATTCAGCTATGGTAGTATCTTCAGATGAACAGCTTTACGTTAGTCAACTATTTGGATGAATGCATAGAATTTTCTACTACTTAGAATGTTGCAGAATTCAAATGGAGCAGTGTAGCATGCACTGACCTACTTCTACTGGGAAAGTTAAGAAAGACTGGGGCTATATAAGGATTCATATAGAGAGACATTATTTCTGGAAACCTGAGATTCTGGGGCCTCAGGTGAAGAGAGTCCAAGAATCAGAGTCCAAATTATTCAAGGAGGGGTGTGTGTGTGTGTGTGTGTGTGTGTGTGAGAAACCACAAAATGTCCAATTAGAGCAGAGATGCTAAAACTGAGTGGCCACCACACTTGCTCTCTGTGACGGAAGCAGCTGGTATAATCAGTAAACACCGATGGTCTTGTTGAGGTTTTTGTTTCATGTTCAATCACTGTGGTTTCCAGTCATTATCCTGCTGACAGTAATAAACTGCAGCATCTTCAGGCTTCAGGCTGCTGATGGTGAGAGTGAAGTCTGTCCCAGACCCACTGCCACTGAACCTGTCTGGGATGCCAGTGGCCCTGTTGGATGCACCATAGATGAGGAGCCTGGGAGCCTGCCCAGGTTTCTGCTGGTACCAGGCTAACCTGCTGCCAACACTCTGACTGGTCCTGCAGGAGATAGTGGCTCTTTCCCCTGGAGACACAGACAGGGTGGCTGGAGACTGCGTCACCACTGTTTCTCCGGTGGTATCTGAGATTGGAAATAAAACAGAAATGCACTATTATAATCTAGATCAAAACCACTGTCTTTGAGTAGAGCCAAAATTGTTGATCTACATTGAATTTTAACTATATTTTTTGCTGAGCAGAGGTGGCAGGAGTTTTCAGCAATGTGCAAAATCACCTCATGTTCCCCTCACCTGGGAGCCAGAGTAGCAGGAGGAAGAGAAGCTGTGCTGGGACTTCCATGGTTCCCTCTGGGTCCTAACTGAGCAGTTCCTCCCCAGAGCTCTGACCCAGGCACTGATATGGGCTCTGGAAGGTAGGGCAGCTGGGAGGGACATGCAAAGCAGCTGGGGTGGGAGGTGGGCTTCCAGCTGCAGGGACCACCTGCTTCTTCCTCTCTGCACGGAGCATCCTGCGCCTCCCTGGTTGTCAGTTCAGAAAAGTCTGTTAGCTCAGTCTGAGTGTAGAACTTCTCACTTGTGATGACAGAATTTCACTCCTGTGTCTTTCTTCTCCTCAATTACCTCAATTCACCTAGATGATGTTTGGCATAACCGCGTTAAGAAAAATATAAAAAGCTGTGTTTTCATTTATCTCTTCCTGTCCTCAATATGCCCGGTCATCTCTACAAGTGCATTATTGGATCGATGGAAATGAAGAGTCTGTTAGAACATAATCTTCTGGATACAGCTTTCATTTGCTTGTTAGTAATGTTTTCTGAGGGTCCTGAAGCTTTCCGTTAACCCACACAGATACGCTCTTTGAAGTAAAAACTTCTGTTCACAGTCACATGTCCTGGCAGGCCCTGACATGGATGCTCTATGGCTTGCCGATTGCTTGAAATTAGCCAAGTAACTTAGCTTCACTGTGTCTCAGTTTCCATGTCTGTGTAACTGTGACAATAGTGGTACCTACCTTACAGTGCTGTAGACAGTTTAAAGAAAATAAGATAAAACATTTACAATAGTATTCAGGACATTATGTATGCGACAATTGTTTTTGTTGTTTAGGTTTTCAGCATTATAGTCATCATCATTATCATAAATATACTTAGCATGGAAAATAGTCTCAAATCTAATCCAAGAATTTTTTTTTTTTTTGAAACAGAGTCTCACTCTGTAGCCCATGCTTGAGCACAGTGGCACGATCTCTGCTCATTGCAAGCTCCGCCTCCCAGGCTTACGCCATTCTCCTGCCTCAGCCTCCCGAGTAGCTGGGACTACAGGCGCCCGCCACGATGACCGGCTAATTTTTTGTATTTTTTACTAGAGACGGGGTTTCACCGTGTTAGCCAGGATGATCTCCATCTCCTAACCTTGTGATCCACCTGCCTCAGCCTCCCAAAGTGCTGGGATTACAGGCGTGAGCCACCTTGCCCGGCCTCCAA